TGAGCCGGTGAGATTTGAACAGCTGAACTGCCGAACTAGCAGTCAGCTGAAGTAGCCTGCAGTGCTGCATTTAACCACTGCGCCACCTCGGCTCTATTTGGCCACTTTATACTCCCATGAAATTTATTACCCTGAAAAAGTTTATGGGTTTACAGTATTTCATCCCCCCCGCCCACACTTTAATCATGCACTCACTATATTGTAGTGGAAAGGACGCAGTGGCTCAGTGGCTAAGACACTGAGTTTGTTGATCAGAAAGGTCGGCAGTTCGGCGGTTCAAATCCCTAGCGCTGCATAACGGAGTGAGCTCTCGTTACTTGTCCCAGCTTCTGCCAACCTAGCAATTCGGAAGCATGTAAAAATGCAAGTAGAAAAATAGGGACCACCTTTGGTGGAAAGGTAACAGCGTTCCGTGTGCCTTCGGCCTTTAGTTACGCCGGTCACATGATCACAGAGACGTCTTCTGACAGCTCTGGCTCTTCGGCTTTGAAACGGAGATGAGCCCCGCCCCCTAGAGTCGGGAACGCCTAGCACATACATGCGAGGGGAGCCTTTACCTTTATATTGTAGCGACTTCTAGAAGTTAGCGCTACAACGTGATCAAGCAAAGCTAGTGTGACCAATGGCAATTCCACAATGTTGTGGAAACTGTCATCCAAGCTATTTGCAGTGCTCCCAAGTTGCCTACCCTTGATCTTAATGTGAGAGATTTCTTTAATGTCACTCCAACTACGATGAAACTGGAGGAATGAAATATTCTATGTCCAGAGTATAAGAGCAGAAGAAAAGTTTGTAATTAACAATGCAAAAAATATTTAAAAGTTGATGAACTGTTTGTTCATTTTGATTTTTGAAATCAAAGTACATAAGATACAATCTTGGTGTAGTTTTTTCACCTTATCATTAACAAAATTATAGTTTCTCACCTCATTAATGGAACAGCTCCCCTTCCAGTTTGATGGGGAAGTGTTTTATACAAGAGAGGATTTTTTTTAAAAAAATATCAAAGTAAGAGCAAGAGTAAATACTGTATAAGCACAGATGGATTTGATTTGTGATAGGGCAGAATGTGCTAGATTGGAAACTAAGCTTGGTGGCAGAAGTAATTGCCTGATACCCATAATCGAATTCAAAAGTATCTGAACTCCAGACTGCCACAATAAATATCATTAAAATAAAAGTGGTAAACCTTAATAATATCATTACGGTTCATTATGGCTCCCGCTTTCAGCCAGATGCTCAGACTGGATTTGGCATTTTTGTCTGCCTGTTGAGTCTTTCCCAAGGACCTGGGATAGGCAGACAATAGGGAAAATAATAGCACAGTCAAAATGTAAGATAAACAACATGAAACACAACAGTTAAAGGGAATTGAAGCAGTTTAACCAGTCCCTATACGTTCTGGGGAAGAGTTCAGAATGTGAAGAGGGATGGTGTCAGTCTTATTTCCAAGGGAAGACCCTTTCACAAAGCCAGAGAAGTAGGATCCCATGACCTTCATTCTCCTTACTTATAAAAGTGGGGTATGTGCAAAAGCTTCTTCCAGGAAGAACATATCAAATGGGCCAGTTCACGGGAGCCTTACTGTAGATCAGGGGTATCAAACTCAAGACCCATGGTCCAGATCCGGACCGCAATATGGTCAGATCCAGCCAGTGGTGGGATTCAGCCAGCTCGCACTTATTCGGGAGAACCGGTTGTTAACTTTCTAAGCAGTTTGGAGAANGCCACTCCCATCCGGTCACATGGGTGGCAAGCCACTTCCACAAAGGAGGCCACACCCACAGAGTAGGTTCCAACAATTTTTGAAACCCACCACTGCACATGGGCCTGGCAAAGGAGGCGGCTGCTTTAACGCTTCAAAGAGAGACACTTCATTCACACTTTGCAAAACACCCCTGTAAAACACTCTATTTACCTATTTATTCTATACCATTGTAAAATATCCTACCAAATTGTAAGCAATTTCACACGCACTGCTAAAATACGTATGGGCGTGTTTTTATTACTGAATATAATCCAGGGGAAAAAAAGAGCTGTTTTGCCTTTTTGATTTTTCACCTGGAAATAACAGAAAAATTGCTTGCCACAACCCAATTTGGTGTGGGAAATGGGAAGGGCAGGCATGTACTACTAAATCCCAGTTCAGTCTTTTTTGGTCTATCCTGGCTGGCTAGATTTGCAACCTGTCTATTTGATTCATTCAGGAATAAGCATTGATAAAATAAAGATACAGTATTAATATAGTGAAGAAAATGGCAAGCTCTTGTTTCTTTTGCAAAGCAAAAACATTGGTATTCTTTATTTGACAGATATAGGATGCAGAGAATAATTCACATTAAATTGTTTAGCTGTGTTGAAATAATTCAGATACACTTGTTTTGATGAGACCATTTTCTCCTGTAATCTTTTAATATGCAGAAAGAATTCAAGAAAGAAAGAGCGGTAGTAGATAAAGTATTCTTTGCAAGAATTTGTCAAATTCTGAAAGTTATGGTCCCCAGGACATTTTGTAAAGAGGTAAGTTGCGAATAGACAATAACCAGTCTTAATACTTTTGTTATGAAACCTTTTTAGCTGGTGGTCTTTCAGATGTATTTTGGCTGCAATACCTAGAATGCCAATTCAACACAAAGGCTGTTTATTTCAGTCACTTGAAGCCTGAAAATTTAGTAATTTGCAACTGCTGTTTATGTTAAACTGGATCCTGAACATTTTTATGGTTGCCCGTGTTAAACCTATATTTACGAATGTAGTATTTGGAGGGGGGGGGTATTCTTATTAACTTGAATTAGTTAAACATTGAAAACCATATGCCGTAATTTGACTGCTGTAGATGTTCTTAAAAGAATCGAAAGCAGCAATCAGGAATAACAAGTCTGCTCTCAGCATTAAGCCTCATCACCATGGAAGAATGCAGTGGGTATGAATAAGTACTACGTAATGTATTTCTAGGATTTTTCTTTATACTGGCACTCTTGTTTATAAAGCTTGTAACTTTTTTTCAAAGTTTAATTGATAGGCAAGTGGAGATCCGCTTCTCTGCTTGTTAAAGATACAAATTGCGTCCTAAAGCTGGGTGGTTGTTCCTGTTTTTACAAACACAAATAGTGTTAGAAGTGGTAGCAATTGTGCATGTTTTGTTCATTTTAGCACTGTAGGCTATATTAATATGCTGCATTAAATTTTCTACAAGTAAGCCATCTGGGAGACATGATTAAACTGTAACAATCATATTAAGACTAGAAGTCTAATATATAACAGTTACAACCATTTTTTACTCTGCTTATTTTAAGTCTAAGTCTAACTGCTATTGTTATTGCTAAATATTATAGAATGTTGAAAATAAAGATCACATGATCACAGCAGCCTAGTAGTAAAGCTGCAGCCAGTAGCATTTAAGGAGCCATAACTTTCCAAAATTTTGTTCCCTCGGGAGTCATGGCTTTTGGATATTGGATACATTCCGTAGAAAGCCCATTTGAGGTACTTTGGGTCTAAAATTGCTTAATTATTTATTAATGCCCATTTCAACATTCTATAATATTTAGCAATAACAATAGCAGTTAGACTTAGACTTAAAATAAGCAGAGTAAAAAATGG